CAATACTGTTTACATACTGTCAGTTATTTGTTATCTGTTAATTAACTTGGTCATGCTATATTGATTAGGTATTTTGTATAATAAATAATAGCTTTAATTCTATTATACGCATTAAATCAATTGTGTAGTGTTTTTGTCTTCTAAAATCAGGTCGGTTAGGATATGGAGATCAGTACAGCGAACATTTAAAAAAAATTCGGTTAGCTTATTTATGCCAAGCATCTTATCAGTTAATTTATCCTTTGTAACACTAATCACTTATTAGGAGTAAACTTTCACTCAATCATAGTAAAGTATAATGTAGGAACAAAGTACTATTCAATGTAACTGAGGAATGATATTGACTATTCTATATTTCAGTCAATATTAACATTCTCCTTATTGTGTTGAATAAAGTAACTCTTTCTCTTGCTAAAGTAATTTGTTTCTCATATGACTAGATCAAAATCGATATTTTGAAAATAACCGTCTACAAAAATTACCATTAAGGTGAATTTGTAAAGTGTCATGAGTTTCAATGATATTCTTTATGAGATAAAGGTAAACAGGACCAGGGAAATTTTTTCTAAAAAAGGTTAATTAATTAATTTAAAAATAATTATAACAATACTAAATCACATCTGATGATAGACTAATGTAAAATGATGTGAGGGATAGATAGATGCATTGATTGACGACTGAGTGGTGGCCAAAGTCATATTTATCTAGCCCTTATTGTTGAACGAATTTAATCAATTAAGTTGTGGAACAGCCACTAATCTGAGTGGGACTATATCACATGCACTGTGGTTTGATGCTGCCTGGTTGAAAGTAGTTTCCAAGATACCATGAACCTATTTTTCATGCTAGTTGGCCTCATCAGTAAAGAATATCCTCTGTCAGTTGTAGCATCTCAGAGTGTGAAACTGGGTGGCTCACGTCAGGACAATACAAGGAGCATCAGTTTGCTCAATATCGAAGTAGTTACGCTTGATTGACGAGTGCTACCTAAAACGAACCTGGGACCCATGTTTTCATGCTGACTACCTTCAAAAACCTAATATGAAAACGATAGATAGTAATTTTTTGTGTCTGACTATGATAGGGTGCTAAAGAAGTTGGATAATTACCATCAAGAAATTTAACCCATTCTAGAAACTATAAACTGTGAAAAACCAAGAAACATGGGACGGCCATCTTGTTCTACTTTGAGTTTATTCACTAATGGCTCTTCTAGAACCTTAAATGTGATTAATATCAGCAATCCAATGTTTTGGAGCAAACATGACACCATATAGTCACAAACTCATCCATGAGTTTATCTCTGTTTCGACTGGATTACTAAGTCAGATCTCGATCAATAGCGTGCATGCATCAGTATTTATCATTTGGCCTTAAAGTGATATATTTAATTGACCTAGCCTATCAATAATGGTAGCTGTGAAATTAAATTATCCAACTCAGAGAGAGTAATACAGCCAAAAGTATTCATATGAGAAGAAAATTCCAATCATTACAACTACCATTAAATTAAATATTTATGTGCTGAGTCATTATATATATGTTTTGGATGAGGTGGAGATAACCAATTTATTGTTTAGTGCAAAATTACAGAGTATCTTGATAAAATATAAAAAGCATTCATTAAATGCTTCATCTGCACATCTTCCATCCGTTACCTCTTACGAACTTTATCTCTTTTTCATTCCTGTCATTATTACGACTGCACCTTGGTTACATTCCTGTTCTCTTCAATTCGATCTTCTTAATATTCTGCTGCCATGCATTCCACTTCTGATTGGTGTTACATGCTACATATATTTGTGAACATAAGTAGCATTCCCCAAATATATATTTGAAAGTAAATCAGTCACTCAGCTACAACATGGGGCCAGGCATATATATTCATTGGTTCAAGTTGCCATACCTCATTAGCACAACAAAATGAACACCGAATTCATAGAAGTAGTTAATTCAATGGTGGTAATATATATAAAAAAGATTGCATATAAGGATGTAGTAAGTGAAGAAAGAATTAGTTGGTAGATAAGAATATATAAAGCAATTGAAATTTCATAGTTTAAGGGGAGACAGAGAGTATGTACACATACGCCATTGTGATCGATTGTGAGCTATGTCACCAAGAGTCTCCAACCATTGGTTACGAAAGTCACGAGGACCCCAACCAAGTAGTCTGCATCTACCAACATGGCTCAGATTAGAAGTTAGTGACTTCAGGCACTGATACCATGTTTTGGTTTGACCTTCCCTAACTTTCTTCCAACCATCCCTAACACTAGTCGTTTGAAAACAAAATCGGTTTGAAATATAAAATTGTGTCTTGGACTTGAACTTCATTACTGTGATAAAAAAATATAGGTCTCAGAATTTCTACAGTCATCTACAGTATGGATGAAGACGTTTATTATTCTCTCAAAGTTATCTTTTCATTACACTTGGCTCAAAAATAGGACATTTATTGACTGATTTATGAAACTCAGTTGTTTTAATAAACTCTAAGTATTTGGTTGAGATCATGAATTAATTGATGTTAGACCACCGTTGGAAACCTGGAAGCACTGGACGGCCGTTTCGTCCTAGTATGGGACTCCTCAGCAGTGCGCATCCACGATCCCGCACCCCGTGGATGCGCACTGCTGAGGAGTCCCATACTAGGACGAAACGGCCGTCCAGTGCTTCCAGGTTTCCAACGGTGGTCTAACATCAATTAATTCATGATCTCAACCAAAAACTTAACAATCTCCACAACCCCCATACTGATAAACTCTAAGTATTTTACTTAAATACACGGATTCCGGTGTGATTTATATATGCTTTTGATAGGAAACAATGTAATTGGATATTAACATTTCAGACTGTTGGTAAATATCATAGAAGTTTCTTTTTGCTTTAAATAATCATTTAATTTTGTCATATAGTCTGAATAATCTTATCGAATATTGTACTGTATTGTTAAACTTAGTTACAAATAAGTTAGTCAGTTAATGGTTAGTTCACCATATATGAATTAAAATCACTATTATTTGAATAGTCTGATGATAGACGGTAACTAGATTGTAAATGTATGATAATTAGAAGTAATTGAATAATAGTACGAACTAAGAATCCCAGGAATAACGTGATTGGATCAAGAAGTACTAGATAAGCACTAACGAATATACTGTATTTGGAATTCGAAATCAAGCATTCAACAAGTACAAAGGTATCATCAGAATGGGTTTTGTGGAGAGTTTTTGGAAATTTCACAGGTTGAAATCATGAGTCAGTTGAAGCTAGACCACCATTGAAAACCTGGAAGCACTGGACGGTCGTTTCGTCCCATTGCTTTCAGTGCCTCGCGTGGTGCGGGGCTCGTGGATGCGTACTGCTGAGGAGTCCCATACCAGGACGAAACGGCCGTCCAGTGCTTCCAGGTTTTCAATGGTGGTCTAGCTTCAACTGACTCATGATTTCAACCTACAAAGGTATCATTAGTTCACTTAAACACCGCAAAATGCTACAATTACATGTTATCGATATTCATTAATATAGTTGATGAAATAAAATTAGTATTATATCTAACTATTTGAAATTAAAATTACTCTAGTTTTTCATTCATTTTGTTTCTAGGATTTTATTTCCTAAGTTGAAAATATAAGAACTAATGAATTCAGCTTACTGAGTATAAGAATTTGAAATAATTGTTTAATATTTCAATTAACTTCATCTTTTTGATAATGGAAACAAAAGAATAATTTATGAAGATACCGATGATTCTGTTTGGATATTGATAATACTACAATTGATACAAAATGAAAAGTGTTGATCATTTAGTAAACACCAATATATATATGATAATATAGTAGATGGAAGATTTAATGCATACACGAATATTGAAGATTGTTTCAGAGATTATCTACTTTTTAGTAAGTAGAAGATATCGAAAACAATTAGATTGAAAAATAGGATTATTTTGTTGAGTTGGCTTTCTGAGAACTGTAACCGAGCATCCAGAGGCCCTAAAGGAGCCGGAGAGTCTTAGCCAATCAGAGCATGATGGAGCTTTCTAGAATATCAACGTGGCGTGCTACTGTTAGTCAGTAGCATAATATGTCTTTTAGCGGGTTAGCCAAAATATGATGTTGATTTAACAAATGTTAACATCTATAAATATCCAAGTTTTTCTGTACAAAAATGAATCTTTGGCGTAAAGTGTTTTTCGCTTATTTTGCACCTTTTCTCTCGAGTTCAGGTCGCTGAGTAGTTCTAGCTTGCGGGTTATCAGAACAGCTTAGGAACCGAATAGAGCGTTCCTATTAAAAAGACTTATCATATTTAAACAAAAGTAAATATTAGATGTAGCCCTTCATCAAATACAAGATGAATTGATATTGTTCCCATTTGTTTGTCATATCCTAGGACATTGTAAAATACCAAAAGTGATCGTACAATAAAAACTATCCAGTTGCGAACACTGGACGGCCGCTTTGTCCTAGTATAGGACTCCTCAATAGTGTGCATCTACGATCCCACCCAAAGGATTCGAACCCAGGACCTATCAATCTCGAGTGCGAACACTTAAGCTCTAGACGACTGAACCGGCATCCAAAACTTATCTATCATTGAAACGAATGAGTAACTAATTAGATCACACCTACGCGTTTATCTCTAAGTGAATTAAATTTTTAGTCTCAATAATTTCAATTAATAATTATTGATTATTCAAATGATTGTGCAAATTGATCATTTAATCAATAAGTAATTTGTGTGTAAGTTGTATAGACATATTGAAGTGTTGAGAAACAGACATTCTTAATTTGCATATATACAAATGAATGTTCGTCTATTCATTCTAATTAGTATCACATTTGTACATAAGTATCGGATACATTATTAAACGACGAATAAATAGCTTTGTTAAGTCAAATTATCTAACCGAATAATAAAAGATTCTGTCTAACTCAATCAATTGATTTATATAAATCTGCTAAAATTGTCTAAATAGTTGTCCATGGAATAGATTATATGGAAAGTTATGGGATATATTAAATCTTTCTATCTTTTATGCTATTACAAACAAAGAAAGGTATCACTCGAGTAGTAGTAGTAGTAATAATAATAGAGCAAAGGAAATTACCATTCTGAAATTCATTGAACAGAATAAATACTTATCATAAGAATTATTACTGATTTTGTACACATGTCGACTGGTGGTTATCATCATGCAATAATTTTATCACCTGCTTTCTATGCAAGACAATGTTATTCAGATAATATCAGTAATGATTCATCATATTGGAAACATGAAGATGCTGCTAGACATTTATCAAATCATGTTATGAATAAATATCCTAATTTAAATGTTTTATGTTTAAATAATTCAACTTATATGAAAAATGATCTCTGGTCAGATTCAACACGAATTAATGCTTGTTTATTTTCTCAAGCTAGTCGTATTGTTTTATTTATACCGGATGATGCAACTGAACATATTACTTATTTCAGTCGACATTGTTTACATCCATTACTATGTAGATCACGTGATCAAGGTGGGCGACCAGAATGGCATTCACGTTTTATTGCTGTTGCTATAGGTAGTGTACAAGTGCCAAATCAATTAAATCCAGATGTACCATTTATAAATGTGATACGTTTTCGTGAAATAGGATGGTTTAGAGACATTATGGGAATGATGTTATTGGAAAAAGCAATTAAAGGTCAGTTAAATAAAGATTGCTTGTGTATATTTCGCTTAATTATCCTAATCCTTTGTTATTCATGTGAAACTAACTTAAGTATGATGATCTACTTATTTAATTAATTACATGTGTTACCACTCGTGAAGGAGCATAGGCCGCCACTAGCATTCTCCATCCAACCTTGTCCTGGGCAATTCTTTCCACATGTTTCCAGTTGCTATTCATCATTTTCATACATCCTTCCAATTCCCGACGCAATGCGTTCTTTGGTCTCTCACGCTTCCGTTTCTTTTCAGGATTCCAAGTTATGGCTTGCCGCCTGATGCAGTTTGGTGATCCCCGCAATGTATGTCCTATCCAACTCCAACGTCTTTTCCTAATTTCCTCTTCAGATGGTAGCTGGTTTGTTCTCTCCCACAGTAGACTGTTGCTGATGGTATCCAATCAACGGACATTGAGTATTGTACTTAAACAATTGTTTATAAATACTTGTACATTTTTGATGATGGTTGTGATAGTTCTCCAAGTTCTAGCTCCATACAGTAGAACTGTTTCGACGTTGGTCTGGAAGATTCTGACAGTTGTTTTGAGTTCCATCTGTTGTTCAGTTGTGGGAATGTTGTCCTTACTTTGCCGATCCTCGCCTTAGAGTCTGCACCGAACCCTCCTTGTTCGTCTATGATGTTGTCCAGGTACATGAAAGTTTCCATCTCTTCCAGATTTTTTTCCATCAAGTGTGATTGTAATGATGTTCTCCATACTGTATTTGACGATCTTGCTTTTTGATTTGTGTATGTTGAAGTTTATTGCTGTAGAGGCTGTTGCTACACTAGTTGTCTTCATCTTCATTTTTTCGTGTGTATGGGATAGAAGGTCTAGTTCATCTGCAAAGTCCAAGTCGTTTAACTTCATGGAAGCTGTTAATCGTATTCCGTGCTTCCTCTAAGATATGGAGGTCTTCATAATCCATTAATGACCTAGTTAACCACAAAATATTTTCAGATTAATATTTTATGTTTTACTGTTTAGTTCAAAGTATTTGGTTTATTCAAAATTTATAAATATCCAAAATAATCTTAATTGTCTTCTAGTTAATTAAATATAGAGAGTTACTTTTGTACAACTGAAATGAAAGATAACTCTTATAGTTTATATATGATTTTCATTATTATAAATAGTTTAACTGATAAGTTATACTCCGATAAACTGTATTTATTGTTGTCATTAAACGCGTATCCTACATTTTTCAACAAACTTACGAGCTTTTATTCTTTTAATCATGAAATGAATAGTTTAATGTGTACTAATGACGAGTCCTACAATTCAGTTTGAATGTCAAGTTTATTTGCAATTGTCTTTCTGAAATGCAGCTGTGTATTAAAACTTAAACCTTTAAACATTATAAACAGATACGTTACTTATTAGATTAGGACAGGTCGAACAGTTCATACTAACTAGTTTGAGTTGTAATAAATAGGTGGATATCTTAAATATCATGACTAGAAATTAGTTGCACTAATCTATATAATATTCTTTCTTTATCTTGCTTATACTCTTACCGCCTCTACCACTACGGGATTTGAATCAACAACTGCATCTCTGTGCCAATGGGGTATGGCAACTCGAACTGATTTACGTACGTACGAAGTTCTACGTTGTTACTGACTGACTGACTGACTGAGACTGTAACATTCAATAATATTGGATCATTTTTATTGAGTGATTTCATTCATTCTTTTCAAAACATATTCCTATTTTTAATTATGTTTTTTGGTATCATACACACTGTTGCTGTTTCATTATTATTTCATTTTAATCATTGCATCTCTTTCTGTTAATATTGATGTAGGTAAATCCAATACTGATTCTAATCAATGGAATGCTTGAACTGTAAATACTTATAATAATAATAATAATAATAATCAGGCCAATAATTTTTATAAAACTCATATTCACATTACACTAATATCAATATTGACAATAATGAATAATCCTTAATACAATTACAATTTCACGTGATACACTCACTTTTGTGAAGAGTTAAATCTAATCGAAGGTGAATTTAATCAATACAGTCAGGATTTATTGATGTTTTAATTAGGACATCAATTATAATTATAGTATGAAGAGTACTACTAGTGTGATAGTAGTAGTAGTAGTGGTAGTAGTAGTAATAGTAGTGGTAGTAGTAGTAGTAGTAGTAGTAGTAGTAGTAGTAGTAGTAGTAGTAGTAGTAGTAGTAGTAGTAGTAGTAGTAGTCAACGAATACTTGGTGGGGAAAAACCAACTTATTGTTTTACATGAAATCAAACAGTAGCATTGTAAAACATGAAAATTATATATTGAATACATTATTTGCATATCTTCCTTCAGTTGTCTATTACATACTTCTTCGTTCTTCCGGTCCTGTTGTTGTTTGTTATTCTTTGCTTTCCTCCCTCTTCTCATTATTTCACTTTTCTACTAGTAGTCATTCTAGTTTTAATTCTTGCTACATACTACTTATATCTGTCCGCAAATGTAAATACACAGCACAGTAGTAGTGTGAGTTATATCCAAATATCTAAATAACATATTTTCAAATACCAATAGAACATAATGGTATAAATAATCATCGTTTATTTTACAAATGGTTGACTAAATTGATCTACATGATTTGATCAATTGAAATGACTAGATATAAAACAAAACACTGGGTACTGTTCACTTATAGATCAGTATATAAACTAATCCGTAGTACTAATGATAATATCTCTGATTTTACTTCATTTATATGAGATAGCTTAAGTTTCAACAAAAATTCGTCATCATCCTAGGAATGTCAATCAGCACAACACTTAATTAAAGTAAAGCATCCTGCTGTGTTGTATCCAATCATTCATTATCAAATAGACAAATTTATAAAATAGTAACTAATTGAAAAAAAAATATCAAAGTACATTTAATCCAATCATTTGGAATGGTTCTTTATGATGATAAAAATTTCAGATACATTGTTAGATTTAAATTATTCCTCAACCGAAGATCGATAAATTTGAGTTATACAAGAGATATGATAACTTCATCATTTGTGAAGAAAACAGCTAATTTAATGATGTACTACAAATCAATTACGTTCACACTGGCATTAGTCTTAAACTCAAAATTTAGTGTATCTGATGCCTTGCCGAAACAAAGATCGAATGCCCCTCTTCAAAGATTAACACACTGAAAACCAGCTTAGGATGAACGGCACACAAATTTTCAAAGCTGAGTGCCTTTATTCTGGTAGAGAATCTTAATCTATCACCAGTGGCCAGAAAAATTTGCACAGAAGGTGCAATTGATGATGAATTGAGTATAGTCTGTCGGAAATTCATTGAAAACGACTGCCCTCTTAAGTTCATTGAAGGAAATATTAACGGCGATTAGAACTTATACCCTCAGTACCCAAGAAGACTTGTTTATGAACACTGAACTTCTTTCTGTAGTAAAACTTCGAGAAAACCAACCGTCAAGATCACTGGGACAGAACATCTATCATGTACAGTACCGAATTGTTTACTGCATTCGATAGTACATTATAAAGTGTGTTAAGGATAAGCAACCACTCTGGAACAACTCAATCTTTATTCATCAGGTCATACTAGCTACACAAAGAGTGTTTTCTGTATAACGAATTTTTCAGCATTATTGTGTATAATAGTTCAAAGAAGGAATTTAAACTATCGATAGTCCTATTCTTGAACACTTTGTCACCTGTGACCATCTAGCTCCTCCTGGAAGTAGTCTCTATAGTTACCTAAAATATTTTAAAATCCGGTCCAATCAAATCACTGATCAGAAATCTACGTGAAGCAAAAGAATTACTAATTCATTATCTCAAGCAGATCCATAGATACCTATTAGGCTGATCGCATGTCCTGTGTGTTTTCTTATGGCCTATTAACAATCATGTGACCAAGTCATCAATCAGAACACTACTTATACAATCTTATCACTGTGCTAAACCAAAACACGCATTGACTGGTACAACCAACATAGAGTCCTTATTGGTTCTTCTCATTTAGCCCTCCCTGTTCAGTCCGGAATACCAATATCAGCTTCCACTGTAGAACAATGTATTGTAAACATACACAGTTTATATACAAGTAAAACAAAGCACATCATACCATAAAATAGAAAATGACAATTATACAGGATTAAGCCAAAAAGTGGTTGTGATTGTGAGAGGCTGTAAATAATAAATTGGGAATGGCTTAAGGATAGTAAGTTGTATAATAGTAGTCAATGAGTCAAATGGAAGCTTATAATAAAAGGAATATGAATATACATATAATATAGTTACTTAATAGTTGTGCAATAGGAATATATGTAATAATACTCCATAAATAGTTTCTAGTTGTTACTATTCATTTATTCCTAGTTAATACATAATATTATGGACTTAATATTAAATTTGATTGTGGTAACTCTACCGTCAATCTTGGTAAAGTCTGAGATATCAGTATCATACGTTTATAAATGATGAATCCAATACCGATGTTTTGATATTCGTTTACATCTGGACTAGAGTTGTAAGTGGTGAATTTATTTAGTCCTATGATTCATAAGATCATTTTGGTCCCCGTGATAATTGTTATGTGGCAAATATGTTTTAAGGTCCCCCTTCCAGACATATAGGCTAGCGAGGCCGGTTGGCTTAACTGGACACTCATTGATGGCATGACACAGCCACTGGGACTCAATAGTCGTTTAAGTCTTGAACTTACTTTACCTTGTTTACATTTTGGTGATTGATAACCTCTTGTGAACCGTATGGCAATGACTGACCATCCCTTTCCATGCTGGTAGCACTTTTGGACAATCTTTACATGGGTAGTTATGCATGTCAGGCTTCTCATTTCTTAGTTTCTTTCCTTTAGACATAGTTTGAATCAGATCGTTTCTGTCATATCCAGTTAGCCATCAGATGTATACTTTGTTTGCCACACCTGAATGTGTTTTATTAACCATCCTTCAGCCACGGAGAATTTCCAGCAGTCATTTATTAGGTATTAAAGACCAGTCGTCTCCGCTTCTTTAGGACCTTGGTCCTTTCGGTAATGACGGTGAATTTCTTTATTAGTGGCAAACAATCAACTACAGTTCTTATTGAAGCATTTGAAAATCAATTCTCTCTTTCCTGTTATCCTTAGTTTGTATGTATCAATGTATCTAATATTACTTTAATAGAATTATCTATCTAACCCATGGCGAGTCGCTCTTTGAGCTCCTCCATTACTATTTGCAGTTGCCTTGACCAGTCTTTCATGTGTGCTTGTTTTGAGTTCATTCTTGCTTTCTATCTTACTATACTTTCTCCTCTTAATTTTGCTATATACCACATATTGGATCTATTTTGTCTTATTTCCTCAGCTCGGTTTGATAATTTTATACTCCTTCTCAGCCCATCTATAATCATTTATTTTTCATTATTAATTCATAATATCCCATGTCTTGCAGTGCTTAGCACTGATTTCAGCTGTTTTACGTCTTTTTGCCGTAGTAGTACCGTTTTTAGCCCTTTAAATCAGTGCGTGTATTAGAACTGATTCTATTAACTTTGCTTTCGTTATTATGCCATTGTTATTTGATCTTAAGATTGGTCTTATTTAAATAATTCCATGTCTTGCTCTAATTACATTTTCTTGGATGGCCTCATTCGGTTAATATATTTTACATCAGTAGATAAATACGGTAAATAAAGAATTTCTAAATGATGGATGGTGGCTAGCAGTGAAATCTAGGACGTGCGTTTCGTCTTATTTGGGGCTCGTCAGCAGGATTCACCTGCATCTCAGAGTCGATGTTCACTCTGGGACTCGGACCCAGTACCTTTCACTTTCAATGCCATCGCATTATCCACTTAGCTATTGAGTCCTAGTAGCCACTTGATTGTCCGATTGGTTAAAGTTAAAATTTACTTGGTATTTTTTACTTGAATCTTCCAATTGATGCATGTGACTGCAATTGATCAGTCTCTTATTAGCATATGTGCATTCTTTTACACTATCCATATGTTCCATATGTTCTTAGACCTTATTGATATGTTAGCTATTATACTTTTCTTTTATTAAAATCAAAAGAGATAGGAATTAAATTGATTTGTTGATTTGTTTAAGTGTGAGATCAACCATCCTTCATTTCATTGCCCAATAAAAGTGCAGTATCTAGCAATTTCGAGAATTTTTCCGTTCATTTAATCCATGAGTATTACGTAATACAGAATAACTGTTACTGGGGATTTCATTTTTATCATTTAAAGCTATCTAGATATGTCTTCTGTGAACACGACTCTATAGTATATCTCAATTTTTTGGATAAAAAAGAAATAAATTGAAAGTTTGAGTTTGAATTGAAATCATCAGTAAAAATTATGTGTTTAAACTCAGTACTCACCCATTAAGTAAACGGAAAGTGCTCAAAAAAATGACTTGTTATACACGTATATTGAACATTGAAAACTGTTGCGCTACAAATTCATGGACACAAATCCGATCTCATTGTTTAGCCAATGTTCCTTTTAATTGGATTACTGGCTTGTTAACTAACATCTTATACTTGGATTGAACACAATAGGAACGTCCAGCTTCATAGAGGGACCTGAAGTTCTAGCGGGAGACCATGATCTTCCCTTATCTTACTTGTACTATTTGTACATAATTTGAATGCCATGAAGAATTTTCAAAATAAATTAGTTAACAAATTAATAAATTGGATCTGTTTACGTTGAATTCTATAAAATGTGTTGCCTTTTGTAATCAATATATACACATACTGTCGTAACATCTATCAGCTGACTATACACTGGATTATACAACATTTATAAATCTGATTTAGTGATATTTTGAAATGAATCTATATATGTTTTCATGAATTCATCTTACAATGGAATTTAAGATTCATTAACTTATATATATATATATGAAATTATCTTGTCATTACATATTTATTTAAAATTAGTAATTAGATTTTAATGTAATTCAGTTTACATATATTTGATTTTCATTTACTGGCTAATTGACAGTGTGATTTAGAAACACCATGTTCAT